GCCTCCCCTGCCCCTTCCCAGCTCAAGCTCTCCCCTCACTTCCTCTCCCCCAGGCAGAACTCTCTAGATCTAATCACTGCTCCTGGAATGGCTCAGCAACAAAGAGACAGGAAGAAAACATCTGTATAAATGACACTGCCTATAAGCCTGAGTCAAGTGATGACCAGGGCAGCTGCCACAGCAGGCGGCCCCCTCCCCGTGACTACGGACCCCTGGCATCACGAAGGTCAGTGCTCAGGGAGTCTCGCCAAGAGGAGTCCTGCTCTGGGAGGGTCCGCAATGGCCTGAGTGTCCCCAGTGGGCTAAAGGGAGGACAACATGGATGAGGTGCAGACCACCTGTGTCAGTGTCCACCCTTAGGTGTGGCAGCCAGCACTAATGACAGCCCTCCTTTTCTCCAGGCCACATGGGGAACTGAATCCCTCTCAATTCAAACTAACATTTGTGGGAAAAGAAGCAATATTGCGGTCTGAGCCGATAAGCATAGATTAAAATAATGAACAACCCTAGCAGCCAGCCAGCCGGAGCTACTCCACAAAATCTCTGCTGCTGTTTCCAGAATGGGGCTGCCGGATCGTGGGCGGCTTTAATGTTTAATGCAGTGATGCCAGGGAGTGGCTGAGGGGCCTGGCTGGGAAAGGGATTTTGCGTCACTGGGGAACCAGGCTGGCTATTACTTATTCAGAACCCACTCAGGAACCAACGCAGGGTGAAGACCAAATGATGATTTTGCACAATCCAGATTCATACGTACAAAGCTAGCAGTGGGTCACGGGCCATCATGGCCCCTTATAAGATTAAGGAGGAAGGTTATCTCCTAAGGAGGTCTGGTTAACCAGATGCACAACACACCAAAGGGCGGGGGTGGCCTGGGGAGGAGGCCCAAACAGGTGAAGAGAAAGATTTAAAAATTTTTTGTCTTGTCATAAACTTTGAATTTTATTTAATCAGTTTTCTCCTTTTGATCATTAATCTTTCCGTACAAAGTACAAGGTGAGCAAATATTTGGTGCCTCGACGCCAGAGTGGCTGCCTGTGTGCCCTGGGTCTATCGTATCCCTCCGCGTCTGGTCGCAATAGCCCAGTTCCTTCCTTGTAGGAGGTTGTGGTGGTAAGACGTCTGGCAAGGACTAATGGTCAATTCCAAGTGGTCCAAGAGGACTTACACCCATTTTACCTTGCAGGTGCACTGTGCACATTCATTAATTTGTAGAGAACGATGGATGTGGCCAAAATGGACAGTAGAGGTAGCAATGTCATTATAAAGGCTTAAGCCAAGATCCTCCTAAACCAAACCATTCTTCTAGTATTTTCCCTAAGCTGGGAGGAGGATCATTCAGAGCAGAAATTTGATTCTTCATATGTCATGAGACGAGTTAGCAAATATCACAGCCAAATGGTCATACCACTGGAAAACTGATGGAGACCCAGAGTGCTGACATGAAAGACAGACTGACAGGGGCGGTTTCCAAGGCTACTCATAGGTGATCTTGAGCCCAAGGGCTCACTCTGTCCTCTTCAAGTAAATTTTTTACATTTTTAATTTAAAACATTTTAAATTTTAACTTAAAATGTTTTAAATTTTTAATTAAAAAAATTTTATTGGCAGTACTGGGGATTGAAACTAGGGCCTCGTGCATACTAAGCATGCATTCTACCACTGAGCTATACCCTCCTCGCCACCATGTAGACTTCTTGAGGTTTGCTAACTAAGGCTCTGAGGTCAGCCTCCCTGCCCCTGAGGGTGTCAGAAGTATCACAAAGTCCTTCCTCCTTGCCGACCACTGGGCAATTCTCAGAGGACAGGAAGCCCTTAATTGTGATCTGGTAAGAAACCTAGGTGCATGGTGGTCACCTGGCTTGTGCTTGGTGGCACCTCTCTATAAGAATGCAGAGGTTCAGTTACTGACGAAAAAAAGCTGCCTTTTAAAATTCTGACTTGATGGTCTTTGGTTCTCAGGACAGCTTGGCGTGGCCTTGAGCAGGTCAGGACCTGGTAATCAGGGTCAGATGTGGGCCAAGGCCATGTCTGGCAAAGCCCTGGCTGTCCACTTCCACATGTTCTCCTGAACTTCCCCGATGCTGGGGGTAAATCTGGTTCTTAGGGTTAGAGTTAGTATTAACAAATAAAGAGAGAAGGGAAACCTCTCCCTTAGAGTAGAAGGCCAACTCGTGAACATAGAGGAATTGATGGACATTCTAAAAAGCACCACGTGGCACTGACCAGTGTTTCACTGATGGAGGATAAGGTTGCAGAGGGTGATGGAGAACATCCTGGCAGGATCTCGGAATCTCTCCCTACAAAATACTAACCAATTCACAGATGAAAAAATTGAGAAGCCTCGCAGACACATTACCAGTCTGACTCAGTCATGAGGCCTCACATCACCCACAGCAGGATGGGTTGCAATCCTGGGCCCGGGATGAGCACAGCTTCTCTCTCTCTCTCTCTCTCCCCGTCCTCAGTGTCTGTGGTTTCCCAGTATGTGAATTTGCCTACTTGCTGAAGTGTATCTGTGACTCCAAAGTCGGTGTTTTTAGTGCTTCCACAGTTACTTGCAGACACCTGCAGGTGGTGAGAACTGTGACTCGCCCCACCAGTGGAGGCTGAACAAGGTGACAGGTGCTGCCTTCTTTCAGTTCTGATACTGTAAGCAAGTGCCCTTTTCTGCGGCCGATGTAGTGCCATGGTTTCTGCATTTTTGTCCTTCTTGATGGAGACTTTTCTAAACTGGCCCCAAGCCGGTTCTCAAGTGCTGTCTAGTTTCCTCAGCTCAAGAAGACTGTGATGTACATTTTGGAGAATATACTTGTATCAGGTGAGCTGAGTTCAGTGTTAACAAATGAACAACACACATTAAACAACATGCCTTTAAATAGAAACACACGCAGAAGGTCAACAAAAGGTTGCTTGATGAGAACGTGACCAGAGGCTCTCGGGAACCTAACCCCGTACTTCCCCTGGAGGCACTGTCCTAGGAGCACCAGGTAACTCAGCGTCAGTGGGCCTTTACAAAACGGAATGGGCTGGGACACTTTCCTCCCTGCATCCTGTGTCCCCGGGGGGCCTCGTTCCAGGACCCCTGGGGAACACTGACACCCACAGATGCTCAAGTCCCTTATAGAAAATTCCAGCAGTATTTGCATACGATCTACTCAGGCGTGTGCTTTAAATCGTCCCTAGGTCGCTTGTAACACCTAACACGATGTAAATACTGTGTGAAGAGTCGCCAGCAGCTTCCGCTTTCTGTAACTTCGTCTCTTTCCCAATACTTGGGATGCACGGTTGGCTGAATCCGCAGGTGTAGACAGAACCAAGTGCACAAACACGTACGGGGGCGGCGTGACGGAGAAAACCAGGGGCACGCTGACCCCTGGGGAACCTGGGAGGAGCTGACGGAGGGGCTCCCGGGACTCTCCCCGCCGCTCGGCTGCCGTCGGAAGTCACTGTGACTCAGGCTCTGTAACAGGCCCTTCCTCCGGGACCCCCACGCGCCCCGGGACCAGCCCGCGGGCCCGCCCGCCCTGACTCAGCCCTCCGCGACGGGGCCCGCCCAGTGCGCCTGCGCAGAGCCGTCTCACCGTGA